GGTTTTAATGTTATGGCTGATCAGTGTATATATCCTATATAATCTGTAACTGAAAAACTTACGTTGGTGCCAGACTTCATGGGATTTCCCAGGTCACAGATGAGGTAGCGTGTCTGGTTCTTTGTTTCATAGCTGCATGTCAGCTGAGTCAGACTCTAGACAAGGACAAGTAACAACTAGTGAGAAATCATGACAAACTATGAAGTGCCACCTTCCCTGCAAATATTAGACTTTTTCTAACTATTTTGCTTATTGTTAGACTTTTGAAAATAAACAGAGTCAGTATTGCTATTAATACACTATATGGCCAAAAGAGCCTTATATTCTATATTCAGCCACAAGAGCATTAGTGAAGTCAGGCACTGATGTTGGGAGAGGAGGCCTGGGGTGCAATTGGCATTCCAGTTCATCTCAAAGGTGTTCAGTGGGGTTGAGGTCAGGGCTCTGTGCAGGCCACTTGAGTTCTTCCACTTCAACTTTGGCAAACCATGTCTTAAAGGACCTCACTTTGTGCACAAGGGCTCTATCATGCTAGAGCATGGTTTGGGCTAGGCCACTTAGCTCCAGTGAAGAGAAACTAAAAGACATACAAAGCATACAAAGACATCCTATACAACTGTGTGCTTCAAACTTGTGAGCTTCTGTGCTTCAAACTGTGGGTGTGATGGTCAGGTGTCCACAAACATTTGGCCATATAGTGTACCAAATGTTCACCATTCTATATCTACAAATAATTCATGTGTCTCACGTGATCAAAGCATAGTAGAAATAAGCCAAGCACACACACACACACGCACAGTATGCTGGTCTCCAAAGTTACCTCATTATTACGGGCAATTCCACTGTAGTCCGCCTCTGAAGGTAGCATTACGTAGAGCTCAGCTTCATAGGCACCACCTCCATCATTCCGCGCATTGAAAGTCATGGTTATTGCATTATCATCCCCTATGTACACTTCTTTCCTGCCACTACAGAAAGAAAAAGAAAACAAATGCGAAACACTTACTGCAGTAATGTCTAGTGGGAAAACCAAAACAAACCAAAACAAACCAAAACAAAAAAGTAAAGATGAACTGTTGACTTGGTTGTTATGCAACTGTCAGCAAAATACATGATGCAAATTAATTACAAATTAAGATGATCACAATGTTGGTCTAAGGTTGAGCCAGACAGCAGCTAATGCTTCCAGCATGCTATTTCCTGAATGCTCGTCAAACAGATTCCCAGTTCAGTCGCAGCCCAACTTCAAAGAAGTCCTTCTTCCACAAGGTAAAAATATTTTCCTATGTAGCATACATAAAGCCATACAAGCATCAGAACACAGACTGTGATTGTAAAACACCACCTCTTCATTTTCCCCAAGTCCCCTCCTCTATTCTGTCACTGCCCCCTTCCCCTGCTTTTTCTCCACAGCACCAAACACAGCTGAGAAATTCCATACAAGGGCCACACAGACGCTTTCAATTACTGCTTGTCCTTGTAAAGCTGTGTTGAAGCAAAATTCAAACTGAGGTGCCTCACATGTGAGGGACTGTAAGCTGTGAGAGCACCAATAGCCAGGTTAAAAATATTACCTTTGAGACTATACATGGCAGGTCAGTGTCATGCTTTAGGGCAACTGATTTAACAGTGGCAGATTTCCATACATCATAGCGTCCTATTGTGCTAATGTGGCCGTTGTAAGATAATGGCAGGAAATAACTTGCAAACAGAGACACATGGAAACAATTTCATATGAAATGAGTAAATAAAGCTTGGCTGAATACCCTAAACCTAGTGGTGAGTGCCAGCACTGTTGTAGGTTAAATGGCTTGGCAAAGATTATAGACATGACTAAAAGTTGGCTTTGTTCTTAAGAGGAAAGCCCCTACACCCTTTGTCTCCTCTTCCAAAATTAAAATAATTCAAAATAACTTTGAGTAGCTCTACTCATAGCTCAATTTCCCTACTTTAGGAATGTCACCTGTACAAATTTAAGCAACATCATACAAAACATGTTTTGAAATAGCAGTCAAACAAACATGAAATACCACTCAAACAAATAATAATCACCAATAACTCCAAGTAAATTAAAGGGATTGTTACTTTACATAAAAGTAAATATTATTATTTTTGTAGAAGTCACATATCTACAAAATCAAAATAGAACTGAAAGTACAGAAGCAGAGAGAGACAAACCCAGCTCTAAATTTTCCAGACCCAACTTTCGTCTTTTTTTTCCACAAGCCACCGGCAGCCAATCCCAGAATGTGAAGCACAGCTCTGCTTCCTGTTTTCACAATGAACACTATGTGTGTGTGTCCTCACTAATGTCACATGGGAACAGGAACACTTTTACCATTAACAATTAACCAATTCTCTGCAATTCATCAAATGTATTTATAAACACAAACGTTTTCTCATTTGTACGCTTATTAGGGTATTGTTTTCCATGTGTTTTCCAGGGACAGCTGACAGTTGTTTACCAACTACATAAATACAAGGCCTGAATCATGCAAAGTATTCAACAGGGCATGCGGAATGTGTGCTTCCTTTGCTAAATGACTTACTCTTCTACAGAAAGCTTCAGGTCAGGGACACAGATATTGTCTTCTCCACAGTCCAGTAAAATTTGGGCCTGGAAAATCAAAATGACAAGAAACAAAAAGTGTAAATAACAAAATAAAAATTATAATTCTGAGGCAGTACTGCCTATGGGAAAGCTACACCACTCTAGCATAATAATAGCATAATAATACAGTGTGAATATTCAAATCAAAATCATACATTATAATTGATCTGCCATAATGTCAATGACAGTCTTACTGTACTATTAATACCTGACCAAAGCAAAGAACACATAAGAGAGATGAGGGATAAATGTATGCTGCAATCATGCAAGCATCTGGCTTGTTTACTCATAATGGGAAGAATCAGAAGGTTTGAACTGGAGAGGACACATATTAGTGTATATAAGGGACACATCTGCCTGCCTATTGTTTAATTTGAGGGGCAAGCATCTACAGTACCATATAGAGAATTACCATCATATAAGCACCACAATACATGAGAGCCTGCTGCCACAAAATGCATGCACCACAGAGGCACACACAGTCAGGTCCGGAAGTATTTGAACAATGACATAGTTTTTGTGATTTTGCCTTTATACACCACCACAGTGGATTTGAAATAAAACAATCAAGATGTGATCGCAGTGTAGACTTTCAGCTTTATTTTAAGAGGTTCCACAAAAATATGCCATTTACCATTTAGGAATTACAGCCATTTTCAGTAAAGTACTTCCATTTTCAGGGGCTCAGAGGTATTTGGACAAAGTGACATATAAATATGACATTATAAATATATAATTTTAATACTTGGATGAAAATCCTTTGCAGTCAATGACTGCCTGAAGTCTGGAGCCCATGTTCTCAAAACTCAGATTCTGAGCTTTCACCTTCAGTTGCTGCTTGTTTGTGGGTCTTTCTGCCTTCAGCCTTGTCTTCAGTAAGTGAACAGCAGCTCTACTGGGTTGAGATCAGGCGACTGACTTGGCCATTAAAGAATATTTCATTTCTTTCCCTTCAGAAAGTCTTGAGTTGCTTTCGCAGTATGTTTAGGGTCATTATCCACCTGCACTGTGAAGCGGCATCCTATCAGTTTTGTAGCATTTGGCTGAATGTGAGCAGAGTATAGCCCTATACACCTCAGAATTCATCTTGCTACTTCTGTCAGCAGTCACATTATCAATAAACACCAGTGAGCCCGTTCCATTGGCAGCTATACATGCCCATGCCATAACACTGCCTCCACCATGTTTGACGCATGATGTGGTATACTTTGAATCATGAGCTATTCCTTTCTTTCACCATACTTTTCTCTTCCCATTATTCTGGTACAAGTTAATCTTGGTTTCATCAGTCCAAAGAATCTTATTCCAGAACATGGGATGCTTTTTTAGATGTTTTCTGGCAAAGTCTAATCTGGCTTTCCTGTTCTTGAATGTTACCAGTGGTTTGCACCTTGTTGTAAACCCTCTGTATTTACATTCATGAAGGCGTCTCTCGATTGTATATTTTGACAATGATACGCCTACCTTCTCCAGAGTATTCTTGACTTCTGTTGATGTTGTGAAGGGGTTTTTCTTCACCAAGGAAAGGATTCTGCGATCATCCACTTTAGTTGTCTTCCATGGTCTTCCAGGCCTTTCGATGTTGTTGAGCTCACCAGTGCTTTCTTTCTTTTTAAGAATGTACCCAACTGTTGATTTGGC